GATTACAATTGAGATGAAAAAAAAATGTGAAAAATGATGTAAAAATAAACTTTTTAGTAAAAAAAAAAAAAAGAAAGTTAAGATGATGGTACTTTACAGTCATTGCAAGTATCTTAAAACACGTATGCTGGTCACTGCTGGTAATTACAGCCTTTTCTAGGCTGAGCTTTGCATATCACGAGTCACTTCTTCCTGTCTACAGATACTCAGATACTCCCCTAACCTGCAACAGCCAACTATTCGGCAACTATGCTTTGCAGTCACACAACCACCAACTAGTCAAGTGCGGGTCCTTGCAGTAATGAGCCGGGCAGCTAATATTCCTTCCTATACCAACAATATTTAATTAATATGCAAAAATAGATGAGTTGCTTGCATTGTATATTAAAATTTTGGAAAATTGACAAAGGATATCATAGCACATAAAAGGTTACAAACCCAGGGGATAGAGATTCTTGGACATATATAGGGACATTCAAGAATATCAAGGAACTCTTATGGTTACAAGAAGAAACAAAAGCAATAAACAATGCTATTAATGCTGTGAAAGAATAATGGAAAAGATAGTTGATTACCCTTGACCAGTGAAATGAATGAACTTGGGTACACAAAAAGACAAAGTTCATTCAATGATATTAAGTAAGAGAAGTTCCAGAAGAACTGATGCAAGAACTCATTTGAATAAAACTATCCTACATAATATTTACAAAATAATTATAAGATTATAGCATATTATTTATGAATGATACCTAATTGGCAAAATTGGAAGTGTATGGAGTTAATCAATTCTGTCTGAGTGGCAGGCAAGAAATACAATAGAGGCATACTAGGTCCTCACAACACAAACAGGTGATGATCTATAAGGAGCTATTAAAAGCTGTCATCATTATTCTGTACAGAGGAATGGTGTATAGTCTTTTTACATGCATTCACAATTTGAAGAAAAGCCTCTTTTACAATTAAGAAGGGCACCAGCAATCAGAGTCACATAGTTACCTGAGATACAGTTTTTGTCAAATGACTGAATTCAGACTGGCTAAAGGTTACCATTTCATCATTTTCAGGAAGGGAAGGTAAGGTAGATCCTGGAGGATTCCCTTTCTTAATAACAGATCGTACAAAATGACTAATGGAGAAGGGAAAAAAAAAAAAAAAAACACTTGTTATCTTACTTTAAAGTTACTAACAAATGACTACAGTTTTTTATTGAGCTATGATCAACATAATAACATTCATTTCAGATACAAAATAGAACAGCCCATATTTGTATATCTTTACATGTGTTCACCACATCTGTCAACATGTTTACAACCTTTTCTCCCTTGAGGTGAGATTGCTGAGATCTACTCCATTGGCAACTTTCAAAGATATACTATGGCATATTAACTATATTACTCCCTCTAGGTGTTACCCCCCTTATTTATTTTATTTATTTATTTTATATCTGGAAGTTTGTGTCTTTCTTTCAACCCCTTCTCTCACCTTGTTCACCCCCACTGGGAATTCATTCATCAGTTTTTGGGCTTCTAGCTTGGGTTTTGTTTGTTTGTTTCACATTCCGAATGAGGGGGAGGTTATACATTATACTTATATTTCTCTGTCTGATTTATCTCATTCAGCATTATATTTTAAAGTCCATCCACACTTCCACAAATAACAAGGTATTCTTTTTGTTTTTTCTTAAGACTGAATGTCATCATGCTTATTAAAATCAACACTTTTGTCAACAATGGAAAGCTCTATAATCCTTATTTTGTAATTCTTACTGTTTCACAACCATGGATATTGTTTTTTGCTTCACATCAAAAGCAGTGAATTGCTTTCCACTCTACTGAAAAAAATAGCCTCTGTGTGTCAATGTATTGGTATAAAATGTTCTAGAATACTAGTTATTTTTAAATCAAGGTCATCATCTTATTGATCAGAACATAGAAATCTGACAACATTTAGAATCAATTTAACTAAGTCCAAGAGCAATGTATCAGTGAAATAAGACTCAGCTACAGAAACTGAATGATGACTCTTTTTTTTTTAAGATTTATTTATTTGTTCATACAGAACTGGGGTACAGGCCAGAGGCTCAGGGGTGGTGAGAGGCTTCACCAGAGACAGAGTGAGGAGCAGAACAGGCAGATCGACCAAGTACACTGCTGAGGGGAGCAGCGGGCGGGTCAGGAGAGGTCTGCCCTACCATGTGGTCACCTCCGGGGCCGGCGGGAATTGAACTCATGCAGAAGTGGCTTTAGTTCCCTGGTGCAGTGCTTTAACCTGCTGCACCACTAGGGAGGGCCTGAATGATGACTCTTAAGCCCTTAAAATGTGTGACTGTGACATTCATACCAGATGCCCAATTTCTTTCCAAGTAATTGCTGATACAACCCAAATCACCACTGCCAGAACATTTGTTATGATATCGATATTTAAGGTAAATGTGCTTTAAAGGGTAAAATTACATTCCATGTATGTAGACCTCCTAATCTTACAGGTATTTTCTTACCAATGTTCAGTAAAGCTTAATTGGTCTTCAACTGGTTGTCTCTGATTTATCTGCCACTAGAGGGTAGCACAAGCACATTTGTGGAGCTTGATTCTCTCCCACAAACTGGGAGCCTAGAACCAGCAGGCAAGCTTATTGCTGCAGGGACACTGTTCCCACCAGAGTGGCCTGAGCACTTACCCAAGAAAGGGCTGACCTGAGAACTCTGACTGCAGAAAAATAGGCCAAAACGCCATTCACCTCACAAGTGCTTTTGGTACTGCCAACAGCAGAAATATGCAAGTGAACCCTTAACATACTGGAACAGTGAGAAGAGTGACTGAAGTAAGCAGGCAGGTCCCCAGAATAATCTGGGTTGTAGAACTTCACCCACTTCAGCTGAGTAATACTCAAAAAATGCATGCATAAATCAAGGAAGGGAGTAACTTGAAGAGTTTAGGTCTGCAACCAACTCATTTGTGTTCCTATTGGAACTGAGATTCTAGAGGTCTGGGTGTGGTGGTCAAAACAAATCACAAGGACATTTGTCCTGGGTGTCTCTAGTTCCAGTTCTTACAATCCAGAAAATCTTGGATTAGTATACAACTTCAGTCAGCTGAGAGATAACCCAAAATTAGTTGTAATAGTAAAAATCACCATTTTAGTGACAAGATGATTAAGCATAAAATGGATTACCAAAATTATAAAGCATTAGCATATTTATGTTAAGTTCAGCAAAATCCTGAGTGTATGTGGCAATCTGAACTTGTAATATGGGAAACAATTTATTATGCTACATAGTCCAACAGATTAAACTTTAAAGTGTTGATTGATATTTAGTTTTTGTTTTATGGTTAAGTTCAAAGGTAAAAATTTTTTAAGGGATCATGCTTAGTGAAATAAGCCATAAAGAAAAAGAAAAATACCAGATGGTTTCACTCATAGAAGGAGCATACAGGGAGGGGAGAAAATAATAATAATGAACAACTATATACCAGAGACATTTTACTGGGGTCGAATGGGGAATGGGATCAAAAATGGGGGGGACGGGGAACCAGGCTGTGGTGATGGCACATGAGTGATTTGGTTATAGGAAGCCCATTGGATTACAATTGAGATGGGAAAAAAGCACAAAATGATGTTAAAATAAACTACTGTTAAAAAAAGATTTAAAAATAATAATAATAATAAAAATAATTTAAAAATTTGTAAAGATTCATAGATGTGTAGAAAGAAATAAGCTTCTGCAAATACATGAATTTTAGCTTACTATTTGAATTTTTATAATGACTTTAATATCTAGCAAGATCTACTTTCTACAACATTTGGCTTTTTGTGTAACTGAGGGGAAAATAAAAAAAGAGAAAATACTAGTCAGTACAACTTAAAAGATTTAAGTTAATTCAGATAGTTAAATGTATTCAACCCATATATTCCTTAGAAAAAATAGTTTTATTAAAGAAGACAAATAGGGCCCTCCCTGGTGGCACAGCATGTTAAAACACAACACTAAGAAACTAAAGTCGGGGGCCCTCCCTGGTGGCGCAGTGGGTTAAAGCACAGTACTAAGAAGCTTAAGCCACTTCTGCATAAGTTCGATCCCCGCCCTGGGCGTGATCCATATGGTGCAGTAGACTTCTCCTGACCTGCCAGCTGCTCCCCTCAGCAGTGTACCTCATTGATCTGCCTGTTCTATTCCCCAATCTGTCTCTGGGGAATCCTCTCACCGCCCCTGTGCCTCTGCCTGTATTCCATTTCTGTATGCATAAATAAATAAATCTTAAAAAAAAAAGAAGACAAATAGAAATGTACTGATCACTCTAAACTGACTTAATAAGAGGTGCACAAATCACAGCTGTTTCACCTTACAGAGGCAGCATTCATTTGAAGAGGTACAGACTTGTACTCTGAATACATACTCAGTGCTGTAAGCCACCATTGCCTCAATAAAATAAATTGTTTGATAAACGTGCACATGAAATTGTTGGATTCAAAATAAATGTATTTCAAACATTTTTAGAAATTGATATATTTATGCAGAAAATAAGATTTAAAGTTAAAAGAAAAGTGGGAGGAGAATTAGATTTATTAGTTGGTAATAGCAACAAAACTATGAAATCAGTGTAGCAGCAAAGTGTCTTCTCAGTCTGTGAAGCTGTCAGTCAAGGCTGGTCATTGACACAAATGTTTATCTAGTGAGCCTACGGCAAGAGACCCCCTCATCACTCACTTCTCAGTCATTCATGCATAGCCTTAGAGGTTCAATAGTGAAGAATACCTCTAACCATTTCAACTTAGTGTTGATAAAAATGTAAATCAATGAGTATGATATAAAGAATCCAGAAAATAGGGCAGTACAATGAATAGCCTTTGATGTCTATTTAGACTGTTTTTCTCTCATCATTTGCTGTCTTTGATCAATTTAGCCAAATCCAAGAAGAAAAATAAAATCCTATCTAATGACCATCATGTGTGTGAGCCCCAATATGAGTTATTTAATAATTTTAATAAAGTGTTATTCACTTTAAAAGGTATTCACTATACATTTATAGAGATGGGATATTATATTTGTAAATCATATATTGTATTATAAACCAGTTACCTTAATAAAAAAAATAGAGGAATCAACATTAAATATAACAAAGCGCACAAATCATGGATGTGTAAGATGTTGAATACTTTAGAATATTTCACTCTTGAGCACTTGAACTGTGACTACTTCACAGTTACATTAAATTTACATAGTCACATATGCCTAGTAGCTACATTAGACAAAATGTATTAAAATTGAATAACTAAAAATCCCTCAAAGATATTTTCAACACAGTTGATATTTATGGTAGCACATGTCACAGCCAGGATACTATTTAAATATCAAAGATTAATAGTATAGATACAAAGTCCATCTGATATCTTTAGGGTTTCTATTCTGATTTATATAAACTGACATTAACTAATTCTAAAAATTTAGTAATGCTTCCCATTGCATACAGAGAAGTAGAGGCAAATTTGGAGAAGGCAAGGCTCCAGGAAGTAGACAATATTGTACAGAGATAATGAAATCATTAGTAAAACTAAAACTGCAATACAGCCAAGTAACGGTTGATATTCTAGGGCCACTGAATGTTAGCATGAGTGGAATTTCTTGAAATCCCTGACATAAGAAGGCAGTGTAGGGAATCTGCTGGGTATGATTAGTATAGGAAACTGGGAGGCTTTTGAGTATACTCTATTAACAAGGAAAGCCACTCCTTAATATATTCATAGCACCTATCTATTCATAGACACTCACAACATGGAGAACACAACACACATTAATGACAAGAAGCCACGATAATAGTAATGTGCTGCATTGATATTATATTGCACTACCAATTAGGGCTATTTGTGTCCCAAATGTCAAAGTCTAATTCATAGTAGCTTTAAAAGGAGAGGAAATGTATTGGCTTCCTTAGAGGGTGTTCTATTCCTGTCTAAGAATCTAATGAGCAAAATGGAGAACAGCATATAATTGTGTGAAATATCTGCAGGTGTGTCAGCTACAAAGCAAAGGAAAGACTGAAGTCTATTTTATGTTCCCAGTTATGCTGTTTAGGGGATGGAAGGTATCTACTTAGAAATCACCTTGACACCTCTAATAGCATCCCTGTCTTACAGGGTCACTAGATAAACATTCACATTGCCTTGACACCTCTTCTCTACCATACATGCAACATAAAGGTGATATAAGAGGTGAGCCTTTGAGGAGATAATCTGAAGAGGAAGCACAGAGGAAAATGGAGCATTGCTTTCTTGCTGAGAACAAAACAGGAGGGTGGAGAGAGATGTGGAGGCAAGGGGCTACCCAGCCGGATAAAAGCTTGTTGATGATGGATAATGGCCAGGGAGAATCTCCAAGACAGGGTGACTTTAAAGAAGGAATCGCTAATTTCCTCTTCATTATTCCATTTGCTCAAATGATAGTTCCTAATGATAAAACCATTAGAAAATATGCTATGTTCACAAATAATCTGGGCATCATTCTTAGTGTTTTGGATTTGTTTGGTTGCTTGGTTTTCACGGAATGGAAAATGGAAGGTGGGTAGGCTAAGTAAGTCCAACTGTGTTAGGAACAGAGGGGAAGAAACAGCATGGGAAGAGAATTGCACGTGAAAAGAGCAGAAACAGGAAATCACAACCAGAAACACACATTCTCTTCAAGACAATAGATGAATCAAATGTGTCCCTCTTCCTCCCTCCTGCGATCCCACCGGCATCTCAGAAGAAACAAATGAATAAATAAAAATTTTCCTGCAGAATTAACAGAATAGGTTTGCCGTGGTTAGTGATGCCAGCCCTGCCCATTGAGCTCCTGAGCCTCTCAGTCAGGAATTCAAGACACCAGATACAGGAGCGCTGGGCCTTATCAGACATGGACGAGGAGGACGAGGCGTGTCATGCCTGGAACAGCACATTCCTCAGTGCTGGCTAGAACAGTCGGATGGCAGAGCCCAACGGAGCAGGCCACCCTCCCGGAAGGACAGAGAGGCATCTAACGTTGGTGAGGCAGCCCGGAAGCCTATCTGCCTTCTTATGTTTTTTTAAATCTGAATCTTAAGGTTAAGAGTTAATCTTAAGTCTACTCCAGAAAAAAAAAAAAAAACAATGGCCAGCAGCATAGCAAAAGCGCTACAAAGGAAAGTGCACTAAAATCTCAACCACTTCACTGCAGCAGACTCTGCATTTTGCCCTGAAGTAAAATGTGCTTTGATGTGCAACTTGAAATTGGAAGTTACACCTGGGTGAGGGAGAAAAAGAACTTCAAACACTAGCTAGACCTCTGGCCACAATACGGTGATGCCTCCTGGCATATAGAAGGTGTCGCCTGTATTGCGGGCTGATGGCAAGTTCCTGACATTAGGACTCCTCTCAGCAGGGTTCTAATTACTTCTGCAGGGCAGGTTCCTTGAGGTAAAAGCATAGGATTTGGGTCACATCTGTGTGATGGCAAGTCTTACACTTTATGGCAATTTTTCATTTGTCTACCTGGCTTTCCTTCAAAGCTGGTATCTAAGGAGGGGAAGGAAAATGAAATGCTTCCTTCTATCTTCAAGAGAGGTAGAGTGCCTCATTGCATGAGTGTACTGAGGCTACCAAACAAAATATTAACAGGGTGGGTGGCTTCAGCTGCAGAAATGTATGTGCTCTCAGCTCTGGAGGCTGGAAGTCTGAGAGCACAGTCGCAGTGCGGCCAAAGCATGCGAGCATTGTCCTCCTGGCTCGTCTTTTCAGCGGGCTCTCACATGGCCTTTCCTCCGAGCAGGAGCAGGGGAGGGGAGGCTCTCTGTAACCTGGTATTTCTCCTTATGATACTATTTTTATGGCCCAATTAATGACAACTAAGAGACATGACCTCAAATACAGCTATATTGGATGAGGGCTTCAATGTAGAATTTTAGGATACAAATATGCAGCCTAGAACACTCATACATAATAGGTGAGGAAAAAAAAAACTGTTAAATGAAATCCTAAGCTATACAAGATAAAAAAAAAATACTTCATTTGTTAATAAGGTACATTTGCTGAAAGGAATGGTATATACTTACGTTTCTCTTGGAACTGTAAATGGAGTCATTCTGTAATCCAAAAATGGACTTGATATCTCAACAAACTGTTCAGGCTTCTTTATCACTACTTCTAAAAAGTAACAAATAACATGGTCTATCTTTTAACACATTTTCAAAAATTACTGGAAGAACTTAACACTGACTGCAGTTCAGAGGTAAGTACTAATAATCCAGCAAATGTCAATGTAGTTAAGGAGGAACGTACTAGGATAAATTTGGATAATCAGAAAAGTCATAACGTATTTTTGCTTGAAAAACAGAAAAGATACATCATCACTTTTCCAACAATTAAATATTTTTTTTTTAAGTGAAAGCACTTTCTGGATCATGCCAATATTGGACTACATTTGTCTACTTCTCTGTTGTTTTCCAAATTTACAATGTGAAACAGTGAAGCTTCAAAGGAGAAAGAGAGCTTGTCTTCTCGAATTATCACTCAGCAAAGGCTAGAATTTGGAAAATATGAATGTTTATATGAAAAATATAAACGTATTCATTGGGCTCTCCCTGGTGGCACACTGGGTTAAAGCACAGCACTATGAAGCTGGCTGCAGCCGCTTCAGCACAAGTTCAATCCCCTGCTAGGGAGCTGACCCACATGGCACAGCAGACCTCTCCTGACCTGCCCTCTGCTCCCCTCAGTACTTTGTCAACCTGCTTGTTCTGCTTCCCACTCTGTCTGGTGAATCCTCTTACTTCAACTGCACCTTAGGCCTGTACCTCAGTTCTGTATGCATACGTAAATAAATCTTTTCAAAAATTTCACTAAAAAATACGTTCTCTTAAACTGTGCAATACAATTGCTCAAGACATAAAGAGGAAATGTAGATTTACAAAAGGAAATAGTAGTCAAAGAACAGGAAATGTACAAAAGCAAAGTTCACAAGTGGAAAAGAAGGCAGGAGAACAAAACTCACCAGTGAAATTTCTAAAGGAACCTAAGGCAGGTGGAGAAGGAAATTCCCAAAGGCAGTGTCACCCACCTGTACTAACACGGTGAATGCCAAAATTAACCATAAAGGGTGATTATTTAAATACAACTTCTTGCTACTGTAGATACAATGCACATTGGAGGATAAAAATGTCAAGGTCTGACACAACACACAGAACTTTTCTGGTTGTTTTGTGGCAATCTCTAAAATAAGCCCTTTCTCCATATAAAATTTTCACTTTAAATAGTTAACCCGCAAGAGAGAAGGGCAGTTATGTGGTGGTACTGTTACCTGGGGCCACACAATTTTTGACTCTCAAGAACCATTACATTGTCTTCCCACCTAGCAAAAGAGCTGCCCAATGCCTACATTTACACAGCAAAACATGTGTATGTTTAATATGTTTCATTTCATTCACCTACTCCTTTATGTTCTGAATGAACAATTTTTAATTATAATTGGATGTATCAATTAAAAATAGCATTTAAAAGCAAAAGATATTCTCTTCCTATCAAGCACTATATGGGTGGGGATCTTTGGTTCCAGAAAGACAAAGGAGAGTAGGCAAGAAGGAAGGGAGGGCAGTGGGGTGTGGTGAGAGGAGGTCTGACGGGAAGTCAGGGAGGGGCTTTGGCAGCCTGTAACTCAGAGCAGCAGTGCCACTTTGCAAGCTCCCACGCCCCATTCCTGAAACTAACACGTCTAAACAAATGACTGACAATGTCAGGCAAGAGGGGAAGACACAGACAGGCCTAAGTAAAAACTAAGGAGATCATATCTTCTCTCCATCCAAACCAGATTACTTCTTCAGCTTTTGCTCTTTTCTGGCTGGGATAAAATACGTTGTGCCAGAGAAATCTTTGCTCCCAGCTACATTGGCTGTGTCAATGGAGGTCGAAAATGAGTGTGAGGAAAATTACAAAGCTATCAGTTGTTATTTACGTTTTCTAAAAGGCATGTAAATTATAGCTGGACGTGGCAGCAAGGAGCAGGTATGTCTTCCAGTCTGTGTGGCCACGCAGCGTGGGGAGCCATAGAGCCACTGGAGTGTGAGTTTCCCTATGTGGTTTAAGGTCCTCCCGTCACCCTGGTGAATTATCACCCCAGCCAGCACCACCAATAGGGGCCCGAGCCATGATTTCATCGGACCAGAGGCTTAAATCATGTGTATAAGCTTCACAATGGTGCCTTCACTAAATGGACACCAGGAATGTTCACTGTTCATTCCGATTAAAATGCAGCCCCTCAGGCATTAGCCTCTCCAGCCCTACCCAGTGATGACTGAACACAGTTAGAAAATAAGGAGGTATCAGAAGAAGCAAGGAAATGAGCACAGAAGGAGGGTTTTGAAGAAAGATAACTTAAGCATTTTGTGGAATTATATACATACTTACATATGTATAATACATGATACTCCCTTTTTATTTATGCATACAGAACTGGGGTACAGACCAGAGGTGCAGGGGCGGTGAGGATTCACCAAGACAGATTGGGGAGCAGAATAGACCAGCTGACGAAGTACACTGCTGAGGGGAGCAGCAGGCGGGTCAGGAGAGGTCTGCCGTGCCATGTGGGTCACCTCTGGGGCAGGGATCAAACTTATGCTGTAGTGGTTTTAGCTTTTTTTTTTTTTTTTAAGATTTATTTATTTATTCATGCAGAATTGAGGTACAGGCCACAGATGCAGAGGATGAGAGGATTCACCAGGGGCAGAGTGGGGAGCAGAACAGGCAGATCGACAAAGTACACTGCTGAGGGGAGCAGCGGGCGGGTCAGGAGAGGTCATCCGCGCTATGTGGATCTCCTCCGGGGCAGGCAGGGATCGAACTCATGTGGAAGTGGCTTAAGCTTCTTAGTGCTATGCTTTAACCCGCTGCACCACTAGGGAGGGCCAATACTCCCATTTTTTATCATCCTTCATTAAAAACTGCCAGTGCTAAATTAGCAATGGAAAGGCTGTGTATGTTGAATACACAGAAATCATGTATCATTCTGCTATGTCTTAAATTTGTTATTTTTTATTTTTTAAATCTCTTCTCATGTTTACCCTTCTGCTTAAAATCATTTTTTTTTTTATGGTCTCATTCATTTCTTCCCATCTTCGTCTCTCTTCCATGGAGCTAATAACAGACATAACATGAAGACTTGCAGAGAAAAAAGTTGACAATTCACTCATGAATTATGAGAAATTTCCACATGAACTTGTGAAGTGTCTCAGCTCCCCTCTCAGCCCAGGTGGGCCGATTTAGGTCTCAGGACAACTACTGTTCCCTCAGTGACTCCATGTCAACATTAACACAGAAGCAGAAGCTCTATTTCTATAGAAGTGGCAAGCGGCAATCAGTTTATTCAAAGATTATGTCCTTCAGGACACTCGAGATTGATTCCAGTAGCATAAATACACTTCAGGGGCTTAATGAATGCTATTCAAGTTTCTATATTGTTTATTACAAACTATGTAGCTGTCACAGTATTAATGACAATGTTGTCACCCAAAGAATGACCTTGATATACCTGGTCAGTTTAGAAGAAAACAAACCCCTAAGTTTCTGGGATGTAAAGAACTGATCCTTGAATACTCAACATTTGGGCATAAAACTAAATGAAGCCTTCGGTGTGATGTTGGCTAATTAGAAATGATATTCATCTTTCATTATAAACGAATGAAACTTTAGACCTTTACATTAGAAGAATGTTAATTTGAAGAGACTTTGAAACAATGCAGGCCATACCTTGAGCTTCATCAGTTATAACAGTCTCCTTTTTTTGGCGAAAGAGCTTCCAGGCAGGTACAGGAGGTGATTTTGGTGGTACAATAAGAGGACAAGACCTTGTTCTAGTCACCAGCACAGGATGGCTGTAGATGTGTGAAAGGCCATATTCTCTAAGCTTCTCAGAAGAATTGGACTACAAGGTGGAAGCAGATTTATAAGGATTTTAGCAACTCATGTCTTCAAAATAATACACTCGGCCCTCCCTGGTGGTGCAACTGATTTAAGTGGAGCACTCTGAATCTCGCTGGCTTCAGCTGTTCTAGAGCGAGTTCAATCCCCGGCCAGGGAGGTGACCTCTCCTGTCTCGCCCACTGCTCCCCTCAGCAGTGCATGTAGGTCAGTCTGCCTGTTCTGCTCCCCTCTCTGTTTCTGGTGAATCATCTCACCCACCATACCTCTGGCCTATACCCCAGTTCTATATGCATAAATAAATACATCTTTTTAAAAATGAAATAAAATAATACATTCTATCAGATGACAGTAAAGGAAAATTAGCCACCGTATTAATATTAATAAAAGCACCATTAGGACGTGAACCTAATTTCATTATTCTGCGAACCCAGCTTCCTTCTTTACAAAATGAGGGAACTAAAATCCTCTATTCAGTTCTAAGAGATCCAGATTTCATGAGATGGCAAAAAAATTTAGCATGCCATTTAGGTTCAAAATGAACCATTGTTTCTATGGATAAAACTTTGATGCAAGTGTTTAATATGTAAGGTTTGCTTGCTGTTGCTTTTCACCACCAGCAGTTGCCACACAGCATGTGAGGTGGAGGAGGAACTAAATGGTTGCCCTGTCCACAGTCTATGTTTTCTCCCTGGAACAGCTGCTCCCCCAGAGGGAATCCCCATGATCCCTCCTAACAATGGAGACTTTCACGGAGGACAGAGGACAGAGGCTGCTCCGTATGCTGCCACATCAAGAAGTTTCTGGAGCAGATGCTCCCCCTTCCCCCATCTTGAAGCTGTCATAATTGCTGCTTGCTCCTCTGGCTTCCTCGCTAGCCTTGAAGCTGGTGGAGAGAGACTGAGTCCTCGGAGCTAGCTCTCTGCTTAGCACATCAGGCACAAAAGACATCTGTTGTTGTTGCAAACAAACCTAAGGGAGCCTTTTCAGCTTTGAAACTCAAAGCTCACTTTTGTTTTGATGCTAGCTTCTCAAAAGAACAGTGCAAAGTTCAGATAGATTGTGCTATACACTTTTCTTTTTGTAATGCATTTATCCCGTTTTTTTGTTCTTTTGCGTTCTGCAAAGTGTCTGAGTCCTTCCTGTACATGAGGCCATGCCACTCCAAGCAGGCTTTGTGTCCTCTCATTGGCCACTGTGCTGGAGCATTCAGTGTGTCTGGAAAATCTAAGACAGCACCAGGCTCTGGCCAAGTAAAAGACTATAAACACATCAGGGCTGAGAGGATCAATTCCAGCCTTACACTGGAACAGGCCTGTAAGCACAGCTGGATTTAATCATGGTCAAGGGAATTAACTCTGAATTACAAACAGAGAAACGACCACTAATGTCTATATTGATAATAGCACCTTAGGTCCCAGCATATTGATAATATTATCGCTGGTATAAGATGGACTTTTGGAGGAAGGAATGTTTTCTATATGAAATGGAAAGTGGAGAAAAGGGATGAGGAGGAAGAGGAGAGAAGATTTACACTATAGTTAATAAAAATATGTAATTTACATGTCCTTTCTCTGTCATATAACGGAAACAAGCAATTGATAAAAAGCATGGGAGCCTATACCTTCATTTTCTTTAAAAGGGAACTTCTGGAATCATTTGAATATGCCAGGCCCTGTGTTAGTGTCTAAGTTTTTAGATACGGAGACTGAAATCCAAAAATACAATTTTAATTATTCCTGGTAATATGTTGGTTTTCCTTTCTAGCAAAAGCCACTCTATCCTGTCTGTCTCTCTCTCATGTATTCACATCCACAACATAAAATAATATTGTGTTTTCTGCTCTTAAGTGCTTACCATCTTCTTTAATGAGAATATCTTCCTTTCAAACAAATAGAGAGGCGTGAAGGTCGCATAGACAACCATGTGAGAGTACTGTATTGCCGAAGAACCTGTAAACCAAACATAAATATTGTCATGCAATTCTAGCCCAACTGGGTTTGTCAGTGATCTCAGATTGCTCGATATCCTTAATGAGTTCATCTGTGATGGTAAGATGTAGGTAAATAACTGAATGCATTTAATCAATGCTAACTCTCAAGTGTGCACCAATCTTTCAGGCTGTCTCATTAGTTCGACCTTTATAATAGTACCTTGAAGTTATTTAAGAAATAATTTTACTTCTCTGAAAATGCTATTGCACAAACTTATAAGCTATCAGTCACTGTAACTACAAATGGTCTGAAAATAATTATGCACAGATGGAATGATTTTAGGATTGAGACACTTATTGGGGAGGTGTGATTCTATAGTCTTGAACCACACACCATGTTATCAACCAGTGATAACTCAATAAATCAATAATAAAACTGAGATCATTAGTAACCCCTATATGTAACACTTAAATAAGATCAGGAATCTCTGTGTCATTTCAAAAAGAAAACATAAACAAGTGAACCCTTCCATAGAGAAAACATAAGTAACTTAGTTTGCAATGTTTAATGTTTGTAGAAATTACTTTAGAGTATCACACTTACCTATTCATTTGATTCTTAACATTCCTGCAGTTACTGTATATAATTCAGTATAATATTTTGTTCTTTAAAGATACTATCCAAGATATTAGCAGTTAAATTAGTTTCCTTTCTTACCTTTATTTTGAACTAAGATGTTTTATTTTATTCCTTAAAAATCCAAGCACTTACATTTAAGTCTAAGATATTTGCTAAAGAAAAATACTTTTAGATTATAAATATAATCTACTTATATAATAAGCAAAATATAAGTTATATGTGCATCCATAAACTCTCTAGAATGGATTAAGATGTGATATATGCCAAACATAAAAACACATTTTTACATTTAAAAGATAAACTTTGTATATCTTTCATGGAGTGGAGATATGAATGAGCTTCACACCATAGCCCAACCTCTGAAGCACATTCTGTATCTTGACATTGAACTTATGGGTGAGTTCGGTAGGAAAAAAAAAAAAAAAGTTCCCTGTTACTTATATTTTCACAAAGAGTAAAAGTCAGAAAGATTTGACAAAGATGAAGAATTAATTTTGGGAGTTCTATGTCACCCATCATCAAAAACATCACTTAAAATCTTCAATGTAAGAGGTAATATTTAATCTTGACTTAAAGAAGTGACTAGTGACTGTTTTCTGTGTCAAACTACCAGACACTTTTCTGTTAAAAAAGTCATAATTATTAACATTTCCACACAAAAACCATAGTAATATCTTCAAAGAGAGTACAAAGTGAAAATAAAACAGATGTGGGGTAAATGTAGGTGTTTTAGATCCCACAGTGATTATGAGCTGAGAATCTTAATCCGTCCCCTAGAAATACCAAAACAGAAGACTCAATGTCAGGACTACAAATATTATAACATGTTACATGTACGTAGAATTTATTTGTGCAAAGGAGGACATATACTAATATATCTTCATATTCTATAAAATTTCATAAAATAAATTTACATATGTATAAACATGTCATATACCTATGCATTATATCTAAATATGTGTAACCATATGTTAAATTGTATGAAATACCATTTTAATATATTGAATTACAAAAATACAATATATTCTTATTGGTACATATCCTCCCCACGTAAGCATTTCTCCTGTGACTGTTGACTCATAAGAACTCAGACAACCTTGGTTTTTATCACCTGCAGAGGTCCTGGCCAGAATATACACATCTGTATGTGATTCTGACAAATATTGGCAATCTTGAATGCATTTATGTAGATATTTTTGAAAAGGAAATACATTTCTATGCTTCAACCTTATCTAGAATTTTAGAAAACAGCCAGAACAGTGATTCTAGGAGACTGAGCACTTACAGTCTGACAGAGACTGCAGAGAGTATTGTACATCTGAGGAGGGTCTAGAACCATGAAATGACCATTTGAATTTTTCCTTCTCTCCATCTTTACTCTTTTTCTTTCCAATGTCTTTTGCATCTGATTTTTCTAACAAATTAAAAAAAGACAACAAACCTTTTAAGTACAAAGTCTAAAACTATATATATATTATTCAGTCATTATGTTGTGTAATCGACCAAAGCAACAGTCCTATATAAGTGTAAAAGCACAGCACAGATTCAGCACAGATTCCCAAAACAGTATTCACCTCTAACTGGAAGCATTAAAATAAAGCAAGTAGGCACTTCCTCGTGGCGCAGGGGGTAAAGCGCAGCACTGCAGGTGAGCCATAGCTGCTTGAATGTGAGTTCGAACCCTGCCCCAGAAGTGATCCACAAGTCGGCAGACAGCTGACCTCTCCTGTCTTATCCGCTGCTCCCCTCAGCAGTGCACTTCATTGATCTGCTTGTGCTGCTCTTCACTTTGTCTCTGCTGAATCCTCCACTGCCCCTG